ACAATCATCCCTGAGCAGACACCTTTGGACGCATCTTTATTTGTTCCTAAAAATTCAACTGCTGAGTCAGTCATAGGTCACACTTTGTTAAGGTCTGACACATCACTGCTAACTTGCCCTTCATGAGAGCAGTACCAGATTCTCTTGCAAACAGGGTGCCCATCTCCCCACATTTGAGGACCTGGGTACCATGCTCCCTTGACTTTCTAAACCCCTCACAGCTAGAGCCCTGTACCCCAGTGAAGCAGTGAAGTATGCTGAGATCGATAACCTGGAAATGAGAATTCAGGGTCCTGCTTCTAGCTCCTGAGGGCAAATCTATGTGTACATGAGGGCCTCAGTTTCCCCCTCATATACACCCACCAACACCTGAGCACAACTCAAATGTAGCCTGTAAAACCAGAGGAGACATTCCATGACTTAAAACCAAAATTACTTAAAACCAAAATTCTATAGAGAATTGCCAAACCTTTGCTTTTTAATTCTACAACAAACTTTTTTTAATTGCCAGGTTCACGGGCTGGTGAAGTAGCCAGCTGGTAGAGTGCCTAGCATGCACAAAGCCCTGGATTCAATTCCCAGCATCACATAAAATTGGGTGTGGCACCAGAGGTGGTAGATGAACACAAGGAAACTGCGTTGTCTGGATACCACAAGATAGTTGCACATATGAACCCACAGCACTTACGACAGCATGCACAAAACCTGTGCATACCCAAGCCGGACGGGCCCAGCATGGATGGGGGAGGTGAGCAAGAAGTCCCAGCCCCAACTGAGGACCTACTGGCAAATGAGAGATGCTGGGAGAGGGAGAGTCAGTTTTCAGTACTGTTGTGATGCCTGGTAAGATCAGACTGCAGGGATAAATCCACACCCAAGAGCACCTGGGAAACGTAGACTGGACTCAACTGGCCTTAAATTTTTTTGTTTAAAAGACAAATAAGGCCTGAAGAGATGGCTCAGTGGATAAGCGCACTGGCTGCTCTCACGCAAGACCCGAGTTCGAGTCCCAGTGCCCAAATAGCGGCTAATAACCATCTGTAACTCCAGTTCTAGGGAAATCCAACACCTTCTTCTGACCTTTGTGCGCATTGATGATACAGGTGCACTTACATACATGCAGCCAATACACATACACATAAAACATATTTCAAAAGGCAACAGTGGACATGAAGTGTGTGGGGGTGTAAGGTAGAGGGGAAGGAGGAGTCTGAATATGATTTTTTTTGTCTTTTTGAGACAGGGTCTCCCTGTAGCCCCAGCTGGCCTGGAACTCACTTTATAGACCAGGCTGGCCTTGAACTCACAAAGATCACTGTTTATGCCTCCTGAGCACTGGGATTAAAGGTGTGTAGCTGGCTAAATAACTGATTCTCCCTAGTCCCAGCCTGCCTGGAACTTTCTATGTAGACCAGGCTGACCCCGAATTTTCAGAGATCTGTCTGCCTCTGCCTCCCAAGTGCTAGGATTAAAGGCGTGCGCCACCACACCTGGCTTTAAAAATATTTTAAAATATTTTTATATTTATAGGTATGGTGGCATACGCCTATAATCTCAGCACTCCAGAGGTGAAAGCAGGAGGATTAGAAGTTCAAAGTTATCCTCAGATACACAGGGAATAGAAGGCCAGCCTGGGCTACAGAGACCTTATCTAAAAAAGAAAAAGCAAAAAAGCTAGGTATAGTGGTGCACATCTTTGATCCCAGCACTAAGAAGGCAGAGGCAGGAGGAGCTCTGTGAGTTCGAGGGCAGCCTGGTCTACACAACAAATTCCAGGCCAGTCAGGGCTACATAGTAAAACTTTGTCTTAAAAAAATAAAAAAGCCAGAGTCAAATACCCCGAAGAGACCATTTTAGAGCTCCAATCTGCCACATTACAGTACTCTGAAACCATCCTGGAGACATACTGTTTGAGTACAAATACACAAGAGTAATTGCTGGCCTGTCTGCAGACATGGGAAAATAAAAGTCACCAACGTTACCAAGCCTGACTCTGAAGACTGAGAGGCACCTGCATGTGGATAGTGGACTGGGCTTCCCTGTGGCTCACTCTTCCTTGTAGAGTACAGAAGGCTGACACCCTTGCCTGAGATTCATATGCTCTGGGCTCAAAACCACCGGTTCCCTGATCTGTGGTAAGACCCCTAGGGAGTCAAGAAGATGCAGCCACAATAAGCACTGGCTACTCGGGAGCCTCCAATGGCCCCAGCACTGTCTTCTTTTCAGAACACCAGGCCCAAGTGTGACAACTCAAGGGCATCCTTTTGAATCCCATAGGAGGAGCACCTGGCTTCTGCACCTGGTGTCAAAGCTGTGGCCAACAGGGCCCAGTGTCAAATGCCTGTTCAGTCCCATGCGATGGGAAACCGAGAACTAAACAGGGTCCCCTAGAGATACATCTCAGAGAGGCCTACTATGTAAAGACCACAGTAAGGAGCCTGGAACACCCTGGAGAGGACTGAACACTGGATCGGAGGGGACAGGAGACTCCAGGGCACGGAGGAGCCATCCCAGAGCCGGAACTAGATCACCTTCGAGACACCACACCATCTGACATGCACGCTAGTTTTGGAAGGTGCCGTGAGATCCCATTTTAAAGAGGAGGAAAACGAGGTGGGGAATGGCTTAGAGACTGGCCCAGAGTTGGGCAGGCAGGAGGCCATGGGACCACTCTGCTCAGCTCTCAGGGTGGATCTGGCATCACCCTTTCTCAGATGCACAAACATTAAGTGTCTGACCTCGATGGTAAAGTGAATACAATGGTAAGATGAGAGACTGAAAATAAGTAGAACCAAATAGACTCACTTTTTAAACAAGGCTCAGGAAAACAATTTCCTAAGTCTGGGCTGAAGTAAGGAGCAACCTCTGCAACACCATCCTAAAGGCACAGCTGATCAGTGGGGTATATGAGCTTGGACCCAGCCAAGAAATATTGAGCACTTGCTGTATACCACCACAATAAACCCACCACCCACACTGTGACCATCCAAAGGAGAAGATGAGTCAAAATATCCTAGCTGCCTATCAAGCAAGAGAGAATGGAATGTGGGATCCCAAGTCCCTAGTGGCCAAACAGCCAAGGCATACGGAGTCCTTCATTACAGGGACACAAGAAGGTCAAGCAGTCAGAGGGGAGATGGACCAACAGGTATCCAGAGTAAAGGTCCCAACTAGATGTGTCCCCTGCTTTGTCTCTGAAGACCTTACACTATCTCTTAGATGTCTTTATGATGAGAAAGCACCCTGTTTGAAATCACACAGCTGTGTGACTGGATGTTTGTATCCAGATCTGTGAAGCAAGGAAAATGAGGAGAGGGAGAGAGAGGGAGAGAGAACAAATACCAAGAAGGAATGTGGAACTCATGATGTAGCTCAGGCTGGCCTTAAATTTGCCATCTTTCTGCTTTAGCCTCCTAAGGGCTGTAATGACAGGGATGCATCACCGCACCTGGCCCAGAGTTGAGTCTCAGTGCACTGGGAACTTTCCAGTGGTGACAGTTCTGTGCAAGTCTGCCTGGGGTTTAGGATGCCTGCCACAACCCATGAGCCTATGTGACCATGGAAGAAGGACCCTGAGCCCTGCACCCAGGGCAGGAAGGCACACCCTACTGGGAAACTAAAGTCTAGAGCCCCACTGTAGATTCCATTATTTGTCTTCCAAGCCCCTCCGGGGGCAGAATGAAAATCAGAGAGGACCTGGTTCTGCTCTCCGGGCAGGTCTTTAAAACTACACTGGCGGCAGCATTCTCCAAGGCCTGCATCAGGTGAGTGCAATAAGGAGAGGCTCAAGGGAATTTAGGAGGGGGGTGTTCCAGAGCCCCAGGAATAGTCTCCACCTGCCCCTTCTCTGTGAGCTCAGCCTGGCCCACTGTGGTTTAACATACAACCTCATCTGGCCTACTTTTTCCTCCTGTAACACCCCACCACACACATGCACACTCACACACATGCTCACGTATACATTCACACACTCACAGCCCAAACCTTCACCTGGCCTAATTCTCGCCTGTGTGCACCTACCATGCACACGCTCACTCAGGTCCTCCAGGGCAACACCACTTCCAGATCTAGCAAGCCCCTCACACTTTAGGGCATAGACCACTCTTTGGTCCTTTAGCTGAAATTCAGCCTCTCTTGTCATGAACAAAAATTCTAAATGTTAGTGTCTTCAAATGCAACCGCCAGCTCCAACCTCTCTGCATCCCTTCTGCTCCCCACCCCAGACCCTAGCCTGTTTCCTGAGTAACATCCAAGGATGGCTGCCCCTTCCCCACCTTACAGCAAGGGTCCGGTGTTCTGCCAGGACCCCAAGTGCCAGAAGTCATGTGCTGTAATATGTTCACCCAGTATACCTAGGCTGAGCACCCAGCTCAGCCCAGCTGGGCCTGGTGGGGTCTGGACTGGGCCTGTCACCTCCTCTCTAGGTCTCCACTTCCACCCTGGGAACACAGAAGCTTACCAGCACTACTGGACTCCTGCCTGGGAAAGCATCTCCTGTTCAAATGTCCTGGCCTGCGTCCTTCCTCCCTTTCCCATCTTCTCTAGGCATCCAGCTTCTCCAAGGCATTCAAGCCCCTGGCCTCTGGCCCCTGGATGTGTGTCTTTCTCCAGAGTGGCCCCAAGGCTGACAGGCCCCAGTCATCATGGTCCAATCTAGCTTTCCCCTTCCCAGACCTCTTGGCCTCTACATCTAGCAAGAAAGTTCTCCCCAGAGAGAAGGGTGGCCATCACCACAAGGGAGCAGGAAGTAAGGGGCCAAGGAAGAAAGGGTCCTGGGGAGCCCCCAAGAAGCAACGTTTCCCAAGGACAAGCGACACCGATTGGCGAGCTGAGACTCCGAGCTCCTTTGGGGGATTCTGGCTGGGGGCCGCTCCCGGGACCCAGAACCCAACGCAGGCGCTCCACCTTCCCGGACGACAGTGCCTAGGACTCAGGAGTGCCGGGTAGTGAGCCCGGGAGCAGGGAGCGCCCGGTCCATATGGAAAGCGCGATCGCGGTACCTGTCAGCAGTTCCAGCCTGTGTCCCAGCACCTTCATCTCCGCGGCCCGCGTGCGCGGCGCGGCTCGACGTCGGTGGAGCAATGGGCCACGCCGGGACCAGGCGCGCGGAGACAAGCGGCGGGAGAGCGGGAGCCGGGGAGCAGAAGCCGGCAGCCCGGAGCGCTCGCCGCCCCCTTCAGGATGGTGTAAAAAAATCCACCAATGGCGCGGCCGCGCACCCCCAAAAGGCGCCCGCCACCACCTGGCCTGGGTAAGCCAGGGAAGCGGGGGCAGTGACACCTCCGGGAGGGGCGCGACAAAGACGCCCGCCGCCCCCGGCCGTCACGGAGGACCCGCGTGGGCTGGGCTCCCCGGGGATCCCGGCCCGGGGGACCAAGGGTGGCGGAGCTGGGGCGTCGCCCTCACGTGGGCGGGGGCGACCTCGGGAATATAAGGGGCGCGGGGAAGGGGGGGACCGCGGGCGGCGAGGGGACCGCAAGGGCGCGGCGACTCACCGAGGCTGAAAGCGACACAAACGCGCAGGCGGGAGCCGGGCCTTGGCGCGGCCGCCCACGCACGGAGCAGGTGCGGGACGCCCCGGATCCCCCCGGGAGCACGGGTGCCCGGGGCGGCGCGCTGCGGGGGCGTGCCCACGTGCGCGGGTGGGCGCGGGGTCTGCGCGCGGGGCTGGGCCTGGTGTCTGGACGCGCGCTGCGGTGCGCTGCGGGAGTGGGCGAAAGAGGACGCAGCGTCCCGCCAGCCTAATTGGAGACCCCGAGCGATCTGCTGCGCCCCGCCCGCTGCTCAGCTTCTGCGCGGGCCGTAGGGGGTTCCAGCTCGGTGGCCGCTCGGCTTCGGGCTCCTGGGGAGGGCGGTCCTGGGCTGGGTCTTTGGGCTCCCTTAGGGAAATTTCAGCCCACTCCGTCGCCTTGCCTTCTCCCTTCCCACCCCTGCCGCCTGGCCCCACCCGCCGTGCCTGAGAACAGCAGGGGAAACGCCCTGGGGGTTTGGAGAGAATATGGTGCTGGGGCCCTGGAGCCAGCGTTCACCAGTTTGCCGAGGGAGGACCTCTAGTCAAAGATGTTCTGTCTGGGCCCCCAGGGGTCCTACTCAGGCTGTGACCAAGTGTTCTCTGGCTCCCTCTGCTCTAGCCCCCCCCCCCCCCAACAGGAAGGAATCCAGGAGGACTCTCACCCTAGTATGGGCATCAGAAGCCCCCTCCCCCAAATTTGGGCAAGATGAGAACTTTTGGAGAACTGAGGTGTGTTTTGGCGCTAAATGTGACGGTGGGCTTCTCTCTGGGTTCCAGCCTTTGTAGGGGCAGAGTGAAAGTGCTAGACCAGGTATTCTCAGCGGTCCAGAATTAGGGGTGGGCAGAGGAGGAAGGTGGGAAGGGGGTATCAAGAGGAGTCAACCCACCTCCTCTGCAGTCAGACACCCATCAGAGCTGCTTTGTGGTTAAGTCCTAACTCCAGGTGGTCAACAGCTGACGTGGTATTGAATTAAGCCCACTCACCAATAACGAAGCTGCTAAGATTTTAGTGGCCACAGGAGAGGCACACAGTCCTGTTAGATCACAGTGTGGGTTCAGGCCAGACACTGAGGCAACAAGCCTCAGGTTTAGAGAATCCCTTCCTTTCAGTGCCTTCCTTTGTTAAAGGAGTTGGGTTGGAGCCATGGGTAGTGCCAGAATGAACCACCATCTCTGAACCTTCCTCCTTCCCCCTGGGTTCTGTAGGTAGAAATTGGAGCCAGCACTTAAGAGCACAGACTGAATCTCCAGTTTTTGGCTATGTGACGTCTGGCATGTGTTATCCTCTCAACCTCCAGGTCATACTGGGTGAAACTGGATGGTGCTGACCTCAAAGATTCCCATAAGAATTAAATGATGGTGTGTTGGGGATGGCTCAGTGGATAAAGCGCTTGATGTGAAAACATAATTCAGATCCTCAAAGCCCAGGTAAGAGCTGGGCAGGTGTGGTGGCCCCCTGTACTGCAAGCCCTGAGGAGGTAGAAGTTGCATCCCGGGGCATGCTGGCTAGACTGGGTGGATGGTGAGCTCCAGGTTCAGTGAGAGACTCTACCTCAATAAATAAAGTGGAGAGGGATGGAAGACACCAGAGTCAATTTCAGGCACACACACGTACCCACACACATGCATGCAAATGTGTATACACACCACACACATAGGCAAAAGAGAAAATGATGGACCATGAAGAAAATGTTTAGCATAGTGCCAGGCACCTGGTTTAAGTGTTCAATATGTGGTTGCTACTATTATTGATGGTGAAATTGTTATTGTTGTGTTCAGTGTCATGCTTTCTAGACTTCTGTCCCTTTCAGTCATTTCAGAACTAGTCGTGGGACAAAATTAACTGCTGATGCTCTAGTAAGATGATTCACAAGGCCTTACTTGGTCTGAATTCCTTAGAGGAAGTCGGGACCCCAGAAGGTGTAAACGGCTGCCTGGCAAGAGCTCTGACATAATGATATGTCTGTGTGTGAGGTATAATTTCTCTAAGGATCTTGAACTATTGGTCTCAAATGTCCCTGAATTCCAAGTGAGTGTTCTGCTGGGTCAGGGTTCACGTCTGAACTCTTGGATGTGGAGACTTTCTACGTGATGGAAGAGGGTGATTATAGGAGTCTCTGTGAGCTATTGTGTCAAGTGCAGGTGCTATAGGAGCAGACTACTCTGGAGGAGTCAGTCATGCCAGGCAAAAGGGTCACTGCTGAGTCAACAGAAGAGAATAGTTAGCTGTCAGTTCCCTGTGCTGTGGGGTTCCCCATGGGACACATGCTATTTGCAGGCAAGCTGGATAGTGGGGTTTTTCACACAGGAGAGCAGAACACAGCAGAGGGCCAAGCTGGTGCTGGGACAGGGCGCCCCTAAGAAGTGCCCTTGGCCTTGGTCCTAGTTCCTTGGAAGATACTTCATCAGTCACTGCTATGCAAAATTAGCAGAAGCCTGGTTGTGCCGGGCCTATACTAGAGAAGAGAACCTTCATTTCCCCAGCTGAAAACAGACGAATATGTCAGGCAGGGAGTGCTCTTGGAGAAACAACCAACTCTGGCTAACTATGCACAAGGGGGCTTAGTTAAAGGAACGGGCAGCTCTCAAGATGGCAGGAGCCAGGCTTCACCCAGCAGCCATGGTCTAGTATTAAAACCTGCCAGTGCCTTCCCCAGGCCTGGATGCTGCAGCTGGCAGCACCCATGGACACAGGGTACTTCTGTCTGGACCTCAGCTGCCTCGGAAGCAGAAGGGCTGCTGCCACTGCTGTCATACTCACCAGACAGATGGGTGCTGCGTGTGCTTGCTTCCTGTGCATTGGCTTCTAATTCATAGTTCATAGAAGACAACATCCCATTGGAGGAGCACAGATCAGGCCCTCTGACAAAGCTGCAAGGGAGGCTGGGAAGAGGTATTTTCAGATTCTCCAAGGGGAGATGTGCTCTGCCTCAAAGGAGGGCCTGGATAGGAAGCTGGAAGCCAAAGAAGTGCCCAGAGCCACTTCCAATAACCGTGGGCTTGTGGCACTGTTAGGAGATGACACACATGGACAATTAACTAGGATCCTGGTGCTGAGGAACACACCGTCCCTGGTCACTGAGACTTGTACCATATCATGAGCTCTGAGTGGCCAGTAGTAATTCTTCCTCATGCTGTCTCATCTTTGATTTTTTTTTCCCAGCAGGTAAAAGACAAAAGGTCCTTGAGAGCAGTGTGGCTTGCTGCCCTTCCAGATGCAGAAGCAGCCCCGGCCTGCTGCCAGGAGGACAGGTGACTGGGTTTTTCCATTGTGGTGATGAATTGGGCTGAGTCACCATCCCTTTCCGGTCCCCTCGTGACTGTGACACTGTGATGGGGAGCAAATGGAAGAGCTAACTGATGGGGTTGAGGGGAACAGATAAGCCTGGGGTCATGGTCTCTTAGCTGGGAGAGGAAAAGCAGGAGCTCCTTGCCCCTCTCCACTCACTGGTCAAGACCAAGACTACCAGGACAGCCAAAGGGGAGATGAGAGGAGCCCTTCTCACATTTCATGGCATTGGCTCCGTACCCCTTGGTACAGAGCCCTATGCCATAGGGCACTGGGAAACCAGAGTTGACCTGACATTGATCTCCACTTTAAACTTGATGCATTGATGGAAGAAACCAGCTGAGTGTCCAAACAGTCTGCCAAGATACATAATTAAGGTTACCATGAACTGCAGTGTGGTGGGGGGAGGACTCAGGAAGGACTCCCTGGAGGAAGAGGCAGCTGAGTCTATAGAGGACTGGAAGTGGGAGATGGGTGTTGGGGAAGAGTTCTGTCCACTCTTCCATCTGTCCATCCATACATCCATCTGTCCTATAATGGGCCAACTAGGGCCCTGTACTATGCCAGGGAAATGATCATGATACAACCCTTCCCCCCAGCAAGAGCTCCTGGGCTAAGATGAAGAAGGCTGGGTGTGTGTGAGCAGGTGGTGAAGATGCTGCCCAAGCCTGACCTTAGCCTGGCTCTAGAATTTCACCAGCCACCAGATCATCTGCTTGCTCATCAGCCCCACAAGCTCCCACTCCAGCCAATGGGGTGAAGGTGCAGGGGAACCTGCATGGCCAATCATGAGCAATACCTTTTCCTCAACCATGTCCTGCCTTCCAAGAAGCTGAGGAACTGACTGACTGTGGTGCCACATTTGCAAGACTTCCCTCAAGCTGCACCATGCACTGTAAGGACTCAGAGCTCAGAATATTCATTATGCCATTATATTCATCTTTACTATTTACTGTAATGAATGGGTACAAGCAAAGAGAAAAGGTATGTGAGAACTCAGGCGACAACAGCACAGACCCACAGTTGTCACACACAATTCTTCCAACAAGCAGGTATGACAACTTAGAGCATTACCAGGGAGCCTACTGGAGCCCTGATATCTAGGGTTTTACAGAGGTCAGTAGTTCAGGTGTGTATTACCCATGTAACTAGCCTTAGCTACTCAGTCTGCAGGACCCCCAAGGTCCAGCTGATTTGCTGGAGCTCAGGGTGTCAGCCACGTTAAAACAGGCTTCTACCATCTGCCACACTGTTAGCATAAACTAGATGTTCTAGTATGTTCTGCTGTTGGTGTGATAAAACATTCTGACCAAAAGCAACTTAGGGAAGGA